TCTTTCCCCCCCTCACTCCCCCCTCTACCCCCTTCCTCCCCCCCTCTACCCCAGAGAGAAGGCCGACGTGGTGGTGGCCTCCATCTACGTCAACCCCACCCAGTTTGCTGCACACGAGGACTTCGACGTGTACCCTCGCAACCCGGTGAGGCGTCCGTGTGGAGGGGGGGGAAAGATGAGAAGTGGGGGAGGGGAGGGCGGGAAACGGTAACTGGTTGGGAGGCTGTGTCTTCTGCGAGAATGGCCTCACCCCCCCTCATCTCATCTCGCCCATGTGAGTGGGTGGGTGGTTGCCATCCACCACCGGCCCTGTTGGCCGCCATAATGCCGTCGTGTCCCCCGTGGGGCTCACGTGCGCCGGGCCCCCCCTCTCTGTCTCTCCCCACACGACCCACGGCGGTGGCTGTATGGATGGTTTCACGGTGATGGGGGGAATTCCGTATCCACCTCCGACGTCTACCCCCTCTCCACTCCTGCTCCCACTCGCACTCCCTCCTCCCCCCTCCCCAGGCTGAAGACCGCGACAAGTTGGCCGCAGCGGGCTGCCATGCCGTGTTTGAGCCGGACTCCCTCTACGTGTCAGGTGGGCGAGTGAGGGGCGGCGGGGACGGGGTGGATTGAGTGTTGGGGGATGGTGGGCTTAGGGTTGCAGGATGTTTGCCGCCGGAGGGGGAGGAGGAGAGGGGGAGAGGCTCGGTCAGAGACTGGGGATACCGTTTCTCCCACACATGCCATCTTCAACGCCCGGCTCGCGGCTCACTTAATCCATTCAAACACACGCACTTACACGCACGCACTTACACACATGCAGACGTACACACCCTCCCTGGCCCCCGCAGTCCCCGGGGCCGACGGCGAGTCCTCCAATGTGGTGGGTCGCGAGAGCGGCCACCCGGGCTCCCATGAGACGTTTGTGACGGTGGAGCGCCTGCAGCGGCCGCTGTGTGGGGGCTCCCGGCCGCACTTCTTCCGCGGCGTGTGTACGGTGGTGACCAAGCTGTTCCACATCTGCGAGCCCGACGTGGCTGTGTTTGGCCGCAAGGACTACCAACAGTGGCGGGTGATCTGTCGGATGGTTCGAGATCTGGACTTCCCCGTGGAGGTGGTGGGGATGCCCATCTGCCGGGAGCCGGACGGGCTGGCTATGAGCAGGTGAGACCCGAATCCGGGGGAAAAGACTAGGGGTTAAGTGTGTGGGGGGTGGGGTGGGGTGGGTTCGGGGGGAATGCGGCGGGGTGCGGTTGCGGATTTCATATGACTGGCCCACTCGAGCGCCAACTCGAGTGCCCCACGTCAGCCGGCAGCTCCCAACAGCCCTAATATGCCTTGTAGCATCCTTTGTTGGCGTGGGTGTTTTAACTTCTATTCCCCGATGCGCCCAATGACCCCCGCCCGGTAGTCGTTTGCTTCCGTCCCGGACTCTTAACTGCCAACGTTGCCGCGATGGCTACAAACCAAGTCACTACGGGTCCGTACATCGTTGGTCTAATCTTGGGTAGAATCCTGGAATACGTCTTTCCTTCAATCGTCGAGTGTGATTCGTCGTACCCCACCCCCCAAACACACCCTTTCAGTCGTAACGCTCGTCTGTCCCCCGAGTCCCGGGAGAGGGCCTTATGCATCTCCCGGGGACTGGCTTGGGCTGAGAAGGCGGTGGCGGAGGGGGCGGTTTCGGAGCCCGCGGATGTGGCTGCGCAGTTGAGGGGACGTATTGAGGAGGCGGGGGGTACAGTGGACTATGTGGAGGTGAGGGGGCGTGTGGTGTGTGTGTGTTGGGGGGGGAGGGTGCTGAAGAGGGCAGGAGGGAGGCAAGGGGCTCTTAGGTGATGAGAACGGTAAGATAAGAACTAAGGGGGAGAGAGGGAGCCCCGAGGTCCTCGTGGTCCCCTCCGCCAATCTGTCCATCTATCGCGCGATGACCTCGTGCTCATGTTCGTACTCGTTCCCGTCGTCATGTACAACGAAGAAAACGCCAACAAGCGAGCGGAGGACGTTGTTAGGGTGGCGGGTGATGTGGCGGGTGGCGGGTGGAGCCTTAGCGGCGCCCGGTTGGCGATGGAGAAGCGGCTGTGCTCTCTCTTCAACCACCACCACCACCACTACACCCACCCACCCACACAACCCCGCACGCCCCCCACCCTCTCCCAACCCCCTCCCCTAGCTGCTCCACGCGCACCACCTGAGCCCTATCAGCGACCTGACCTCCCAACCCGTGCTGCTGGCGGTGGCCGCGCACTTCCCCGCCCGGGACCGGGGCACGGTGCGTCTCATCGACAACACCGTACTGAACGACCCGGGGGACAGCAAGCAGCTGCAGGACCGGACCCAGCAGCAGTAGCATGTGGAAGGGCAGTCGCAAGAGGTGGCGGACTAGCAGTAGCAGTAGCAAGGAGGGGGAGGGGGCTACAGTAGAGGAGCCTGAGGGCGAGCTCGCGTGACCTTGAGCAGGGGTCGATTGGGGGGGGGGCATCTGTTTCCAGAACGGGCAGGTGGGGAGGGATGGGGAGGGGAGGGATGATGGGGAAGGGCAAAATGCATGTGTAGGTGTGTAGGTGTGTATGCGCGCGCACTCGGGAGAGCGTTGCGGTGGCGGTCCCCCCCCTCCGGAGCTGATTGGCTCCTCCCTCTTCACCCGCCATGTGTAGCAGTGCCGTGCAGCGGTGCACCACCGGGGGGCGGGTCTGGTCGGATTGGGTCTCCGCGTCTCTGGTCGGTTGGATGGCCGGGCGGGGGCGGGGGCAGGGGCAGGGGCGGGGCCGGGGGCGGGGGCAGGGGGGCGACACGGGTTCAGAGGTTAGCAGAGAAGTACCAACTCGTGAATGACTCCAAGGGGTGTGTGGTGCTGTCGGTGGGTTTGGCGGGATGGACGTTGTGATATGCGGGAGCACCTCCTTCCTGCCCTTTGCTCGGCCACCAAACCCATCCAATGCTTGTATACTTCGCCATGTGAATTCCTGGTTGCTTGCCGTCTGACGGGTACCTGTCTGGCTGGACATCTAGACGTGTATGCTTCCAACCACTCATCACTCGATCCTAGAACTCCAATACCACACCTTCTGACAATTGCCTGTTCATTAGCCATTCCACTCGTTCGTCTGCTTCACGTAGCACTTGCGGGACCTCCTGCCATACGTCGTGCCCCAGAAAACTTAGAAAACGGAGGAGACTAGTGAACCCCATCCGCCTCTTCGGAGTTGGAGAGAGCCTCCTTACGATCTCCTGTCGCAAAACTTGGTGTGCCACAGACCCACGCTGCGAACGGACACGGCTCCAAAAACTCACAATCTGTTTGAAAACGTGGTAGTGTAGGGGTAGCTGTGACAATTTCTGCGAACAGGATCTGGTTTGGCAGCTCCCACCACTTGCCGCACGAACGACACCTGAAGCTTCAGCGCGTCATCTTTCAGACATGCCTCGAAGGCCCCCTCCACAAGGCCCCTCTCGCATCACTCCGCCTCCTGAGCCTGTCCAAGACCTCAGCTAGCACAAAGGGTCCCCACACTTGACAGCAACATACAACAGTATTGCTCGTACCTGCGTATCAAAACATTTACATCTGTGGCAGCCACAGGGTACCAGTACACCGTACTGGTGCGATTGCTAAGAAGGACGATCATATCCATAACCCATAACATCATAATCCCACACGCTACAACAACCCCCAACCCACCCTGGAGCGCCTCCGTGACTTCATCCATTCCTGGTTGAACAACATGCATGTCACCACACCATACCACACACAGAGTACCGCACTCAGCAACCCGCATCGCACTTAGGGTTGAGCAGATGATGTGATGCAGCTTGCATTTCGAAGCCTGTACCGTGCTTGTGATGTAAGTGTGTATGCCGGCAGTGGAGGCTTGTTTTGATCAATGATGCAGCACTTATTGCCGCAATGGCCGGCCGGCGGGGGGCTACTGTGTTCTTCGGTAATGTTGTGGTCCGAGGGAGCAGCCGAGGGTTTAGCGGAATCTTCTGATGAAGCATTCAGGTTCTGTTGGCTTTCAGGCGGGGGGAGCTTGTTCCAGTTCGCAAATGTAGTCCGAGTGCATGGATCGTGAGTACGAGTGCAACTGTTGGGCTACATGGTATCCTGCGCGTGTATAGTTTACTCGGTGGTCTTGACGACTCCCCTGTACAGGTCGTGTCTGTTCCGCTACTCCGGGCGCCCCTTTGACCCCGATCTTAACCTCTCGGCTTTGATGACAACGTCATGCAAAATACTTGAAATCCCTGTAGCCAAGCCATGATCTTTTCGTGAGCAAGCATGGCATGGCCGCACGCATAACCAGTAACTTATTAGGTAAAAGCATTACGACTTCTGACTCGACGCAGTTCATGTTGCCTCAGCTATGCGAATTTTCTGCTTGGTACGGACAGATACAAATTATAAACTCTGCACTGGCTGTCAATGGGCATCTCTGGTTGTCCGAGGAGCGACGCAAAAGGAACCCTTTACACGCATTCCAAGCTCTCTGTTTTACTGGTAAACTAACCACCAGAGCCGGTTCATGCGAGATCTTGTGCGGACGGACGGACGGAAGCAATGGCTCACAACCGCGACTCCGCAAAACTGTCTGGCAACACACAATTCTATAGACCTGGACTTCTGGAGAAACTTTATCGCAATCCACAATAATCTGCTGAGAAAAGGTAGCTCCACTACTTCCCTAGCTTTTAAGGCGACCAGGCTTAACATGTTTCTTGATAACATGTTATCCAATTAAACTCTAAAGACGACAGGCTTTAATATGTATGCAACGTAGAAGGCATTCTGCAAGCCAGCAATCTTGCGTGTCAGGGGACTAACCTCTTGAGACTCTGCAGGTAGTACGCAAGGGCAAGGGCAACCAAGAACTAACAGTTTCTATTAGGGGAGAATTAGGTGATAAATGTTGGATACCGACAGTATAAGTTTGGTGGCCTACTTCCGCGTGTACGGAACCCAAAGCGAGCTTGACAGCTGTAACACCAGCCCATGGTTATTTCGAAGTGCCTGCCTCACCACACCTTATCACGCTCTTCTTTATGATCCACAAGGGCAGGTGACAGCTTGTTGCCTCATACTGTACCTGAGGGCCTCCTCGCAGTCCCAGCGCAGCACTTTGGTCTGTAGTGTAGACCTGATGTTGGTTGGAGGCCACCTGCATTTTACCAGCCTACCGAGATTCACGGGACCATCGATTCTGCTGTGGAGTTGCGACGAGCTTGCGGTATGTGCAAAATGTGCAAAATGGCCGCCACCTTGTAATCCCGTCAGAGTGATACGTTGCAAATGAAACCAATTATCTTTACGCAGGACTGTTGATGCTTCGTGCAGAGCGGCGTGACATAGGTGCGAGGACATGTCGCCTGCCGAAGCCGACCATGCGAAGTCTTCAGGAATAATCTTAATTCCTAGAGGTTAGTTTCTTGGGTGTGCATTTGATCTGCAAAATCTTAGGAACTTCACAGGATCGTCCGACCTTTGCTCGCGCAACGGCCTGCCGCGGGGCCAAGAGCAAGCTAAAGTTACTATCGAACGCATTCTTGCGTTCTGCGTCCACATTCCGTGGACACTAACAGCTAGGCAGTCGAACAGTTTCAACCGTTCCGAACACTAATCCGAAGTCCCGTTCGCCCCATTCCCGACAGGCATTGCCGAATCCAACAACTTGATCAAGCCCATCCCATAAGACCTTTCAACGACAAGATCTAAAGACACTCTGCAGCAAGAGCCCTTGCCTCTGTAACCTCCGCCGCCACCACAACCAGCGACCCACGTCATCATTATCGCTAGAAGGTGGTGAGTGGTTGCGACCTTTTTAAGTTAAAGTTAAAATATGACATGGTGCAAGTGAATAGTTGAGTGTTCGACCGAGGATTGGTTGACGTGCATGGGACGAAGAGCACTCATTCTCCGTACCTTAGGTTAGCTGTGTTTGTCTATTTACATGTACAAGTGCTTTCCACTGAGTGATCAACTCTAATCAACCGTTTCTCCGCAACGGCCCGCATGGGATCGGTATAACGCATCTGGCTGGACTATCCAATATTGTCAATATTATATAATTAAATAAATATAAATGGACAACACAGAGATCTACTAAGATTAGTTTTATTTCTATCTTGTCCCGAATTGTTAACCCAATTACTTTTTAAATAAGATACGATCGGTTTTTTGCAATACAGAATTATCGCCTTATTATTTTTGTTTTCTAAAACTATGAGCATGTTTTGTTATTAGTGCAAAGAAGTTAATAAAAAGCTGAATTGTTACGGCGATTAGTAACCTTTGGTTAGGCCCGCCGGCCGGGCCGGGTACCACAGCCTTTGCGACCGGGCACCGGATCCACCGCAAATTTCCGACCGGAAAGGTGCTGCCCGACGCCCCAACCACGTCCTAGTGATAAAATATGACCATAGCGTTTGGAGCTACCAGGCCGACGCGCGCGTGTTTGTGCATAATTGGGTTGACAAAAGGGTAACAAAAACAATGATGAGAAGTTCTGTCTGTGGCTCTGGTGCCGACGGGACAAGTCTGTTGTGGGCGGCTGCAGCGCGGGACTCGCGACGGTGGCAGGCAGACCGAACGTCAGCAGGGTCCGATAAGGGCAGCAGCGTTATTTTTTTGCGGAATATATTCCGAATTCGGAATAAAAAAATGTTCGTGGTCCTGAAAGTTAAGAATAAATAATGTTCCGACCGTGCAAGTTCATTCTTCCAGCCAAAAATGGACTGTCCGTGCCAAAGCCGCTAGCCCTTAGGGCAGGCGGGTACATGAGCGATACAATGCGCGATGCCACCTCCTTTCGATGATTGTACAAGACGCTTACTTGAGCTGTGGACGTCTTCCCCACCATACACCCCCCGGCACCAAGTCTAACTGCAGACAAGTTGCGAAATGAAAACGCAACGGTCTGGCCTCAGGTATCGTTACCCGACGTCGTTGTCAGGCGATGATGCGTCTTGAGTATACAGACCCGTGATGTGACGTATGGGGATGAAAGTTCAGGCGAGGCCCGAGTCCACACATCCACCCCTGGACCCGCGTTACGCCGGATTTCTCGCCACCCCACTCCCCTACGCCACCCCCCCCGCGTTACCTAATTTCCCCTTCGGTAACACTTCGGTCTCCCGAATACTTGACATTATAAAATTTTATAAACTTTTCTCTCTTAATTAAGCATTCTATTTTGTTCTAAAATATTTTCTGTTTTCTTCGCTCTTGGTTAACGAAAACCCGAGGGATGACCCGGCACGCATTCCCCGAAGGTGACACTAAGACTAAACGAAAATAGAAGGAAAATGCCAAAAACTTAACACTGACTAAAAATGCTTAATAAGAAACCTAAAATTCTGCTGGCCGAGAATACAACCTAGTGACTCATACTTCGTCTCCCTTTGTCGGGGAACGAACACTTGCGGGGGACCTTTGGCCCTTCCTTCCCCCACCAACATTCCATGACCACCACCAGTATTGCTACTCTACTGCCGTCACAAGGGGCCTCAAGCGTAAGGCGTGTATCATTAACAGTACCGGGCTTTGCATGTGTCTAGCACTGTGTCTCACGCCCCTTACCGCCTCGTGGAAAAGGAGTAGTTTGTCCCCCCAGTGTTGAAATGATTGGTTTGGATTATAATGGAACCCCTCAAAGACGAATTAGGAACATCCCTTCTCGTTTCACAACTGCGAAACATCCCTCCTCCTTTATATTAACAACTTCCTTCGGTTTGCTGATGCAGTCTCTGCAATCTGAACGCCCCAAACCGTAATCCAATCCACTACCCCGCTTCTATATGGGATCAAACCCACAGGATAGGCATTTGTTCTGAGTGGTGCACCAAGATGTACATCAAGGTCTGCTGAGTTTGGGCGGCCACCCGCCACCTGCTGCACACGATGCTGCATGCACAAGAAGGTGGGGGATGTAGGGGTTTAGGATTCGAATGAAGGTGGTGCAGATGAAGGGGCTTAGCGATGTCCCCTCCCATTATTTTCTCTACAATCATTGGTGACCCCTTTTCGCGGTGCTGCCATTGAAAGTGTAGAACTCTCGTTACGACTCACCTAACGGTTTACCGTTGCATGCCGTTATGTCATTTGCTGCTGTTCTCTTCACACTCCGACACACTCCGACGTGGTGACGAAACATTGATCAGCTCTCGCGAGTGCTCGTTGTCTGGACACTTGCCACGTCACGCTTCACCCGGACACTACCTTCCTGGTACTGTGCGGAGCCGTACAGTGCCGTTTGGTGCCGTACAGAGGCCATGGGGGGTTTGGACCCAATCACGCTTTCGTCTTTTTGGT